TCTATAATAAAGGCATTGATTGCTCTAAATGTCACATATTTCAGTAGATATTTCTTTGGAATTTTTAACAAGTTTTACGGCATCTTTAATGAAGCTTTTATTTTCACTCTTGTTTACTGATTCTTTACCATTCATTTATAATGCAGTGTCTCGAAAAGCCCTTGTTTCCCAACTTCTCATGATGAAACTATGTGATTAAAAGTGGTCACATAAACTGTTATAAATTCACGAAAGATTCAATAAAGAGAGAAAGTCAAGTTTAATGTCATACGATATCTGTAATGTATGTCATATAGTTCAGGACATTATTTATTGAACAGCCCTCGTAGGCGGACCGACTTATAGGCGAGTATATACGGTAAAAGGTTATAAATGAAAGTTTCATCTCAATAATATGTATTGATTTCTGTTTGAACAAACTAAGGTGTAAAATTTCCCACACTTAAAAAAGAACAGCAATCAGTTAATTCAATCACATCAAAAATAAGAATGTCTAATGTGTAAGTGAAGTTTGTTCATTAGTGAGGGCGAGTCTTATTATTTCTGTCCTAAGGATTTTTATATTTTTATATAATTAATGTTTACTGTTATATTTATTGTTTTAAGATTAAAAAATCGAATTTTAACATCCAGTTTTATTAGAGGGCCATCTCAAATGTTGTCAATTTTACTATTGTAGACTATGGGAATTGGAAAAGCGCCAATTTATCAATATTTCCCCATATTTTTGTACTTCTGCCCTAGATATTTCTTGTTCATCTAAGTAGATGAAAGTTATTGTAAAAAGTGAAATTGTGAAATTTCAAAAAATGTTCACCATCTAGGTCGGTCTAGGAATATAAATTGCTTGTTTTTTCACTGCCAGCACCTCTAAAATTGTCTTATTACGGTAAAAATACGTATCAGTTCAGATGAATTATCGGCGCATCTGGGTTTTTTTTTCGATAAAAATAGCAATGTTTAGATTGCTAGTATGTTTATGTCATCAGTTTTTAGTATAAAATCCATAGACGTTTAACATACATGCGTCATTCTTCAGCGCCATGCATTGCTTACAAAGTTCAAAAATGGTGACGTCGCTAGAGCCATTTCAGCGTGTTTTCCTAATTATTGTCGTACAATCAACATTTTCAGACCAGTAAGGTTTGCAGAAAATGTTAATTTTGCATTAAAATAAAAACATGTGGCATAGGTGTACTTTCGCATAAATGATTGCATGAAATAAAAAAAGCTGTACAAAGGCATGCGAGCTCGAATTAGATCGGCCTCGTTAAAAAAAAAAACATTAGTAAAAACTACATCAGACGTAATTTATCCTTCCCTTTAATCCCACCAACTAATTGAAAAGAGGGCCAAGTTTATGCATAAACTTAATAAGGCTTTCTCACATATGAAACATGCATACCAAACATTTGCGAAAGCACACTCTACGTATGTACAATTTCTTAAACAAGGAAAATTATTGACAAACAAGTGATGAAACAAGAATATCAACAGCCTCGATTAAAGTCTTCATTTTGTAAGCTCAAAAGTCGATACAATGCCTTTTACGCAAATTCAGTTTATCATTCAGTGAAATGCCGACTGAAGTTTTTCATACTAATTTTCAGTCCAATGTTAACAAATAGAATTGACGACGAGTTTTTCCGTTATTTCACGAAATGACAATTAAGGAGCACAAAAAGTTTGTGAATGGTCGACATGGGATACTCTCTCATATGTTTCATTGAATTTGATATCTCGAAACTTAAACTGCATAATTATATTTTACTAGAAAAAAATTTCCATATGATATACTATCAAAATTAAACAAAGGTCTCAGTATTTTAAGAAAAAAAATCATACACATTAACTTAACAAACCTTGCCAAAAAAGATGATTTATATAGACCTCAAGATAAAAACACAGGTTTTTGCATGAATATTACATAATTACCAATGTCTAAACATTTACATTACTTACGTGAAGCTTTTTCTTTTATTATGTTAAACTACACGATACTTCCAACCGATCAGCACTTAAGTTAAAAACGTTTGATTCGAGAAAATGTTTATTGCCTATTTAGATTTTTTAAGGCGTTTCCACTTTCACAATTTTTATTGTTCAAGGTACAAAAACTGCATTTATTTTCATTCAATATACTTTAAATTTTCCAATTATTGAAAAAAATATAGGTCACCATATTATTTTGGATGCGAAACATTATTAAACAGAAATGTGTGTCGACATAAAAAATCATACATTTTTTGAAAACTATATAATATATATATATATATATATATATATATATATATATATATATATATATATATATATATATATATATATAATATATGTATATAAAGCACTAAAATGACCAACGACACGAACAATAAAAATTGTCAAATTAGCGTTAGAAATATAGTTAATTATATTTCTAACGCTATCACATATTTGAGATCAAATCCTTTAATTATCTGTCAAAAAATCATTCAAGATATGTTTAAATCACGTATTATACTCCTTATCTTAGTAGTAATTTTGTTTTATGCAAAATCAGCACATACCCCGATCGACCGTAATTCCGAGAAATCGCCGATTTCAGTGTTTGTTTTCTTTATATTTAAATTATATTATTATTTTGCTTTAAAATTTATTAATAAATCAATTCCAATACATAAAAGGAATAAATGATAATAAAAAGAAAACATCCTGTTTACTGGGATTAAAAGTAAATTGAAAAATTTGTAGTGTCTTGCGTGATGTTTTGGGTAAATAAACATGGCGATGAAGGAGTTGCCTATCCCTTTAGTATATAGGTCCCTGGATTTACTGATTGTCGTAATTAATTAGCATAATTAATTCGTTCAATTATGTAAATCTCACTTTACCCGAGCACACCCGATAGACCGGACGTATTTCTTAGCGGTCCGGATTTCTTTCTTGAATTATAGTGTTCTTAAAAATTTCCAATTCAACATGTAACTAAGTTTGTAAATATAAGTGTTGAGTAGTTTAGTAGTAGTGCTAGTTGCTTTTGTTTTTCTTTTTCCTTTGTTCTTATGACCTTTTCACTTTTTTCTTTGTCCTGAGGAAGGGACAGGGCGTCCCGAAAATTTGACAATTTTTATTGTTCGTGTCGTTGGTCATTTTAGTGCTTTATATAAATTTCCATCCGTGACCTTCTTACTACTTGGTAGATCCGACATTTAGGATATACAGTGTTGTTGGTTTTTTAGTGCTTTATATATATATATATATATATATATATATATATATATATATATATATATATATATATATATATATATATGTATATGTATATGTATATGTATATGTATATTTATATATTAAAAAAGTAAAAAGAAAACACAAAAATCCTCAGTTAAGCTTTAGCGCTTTCATTTTTCAATCTTCAGAAGCTTACAATAGTCTATATATATATATATTTATTTATTTATTTATTTATTTGAACCGGAGACATTACATCTCATAGGCATACAATATTCATACATAAGATTTGTACAGGCTATATAATATACACGTGTTAATTAGATAACAATATCATTTAATTATCATTTAGAACATCAATTCTTAATTGATGAGAAAACTACAAAAAATTTTCCCAGGTTACATAGTTCTTTAGTATTCGTAGAACTCAGTAGCTGTACTAATTTAAATACTGGTGTGTTTTTTAAAATAATAACTCTTAATATATTTAATTCTAAGTTCTTCATATCGAGGACATTTTAAAACAAAATGAAATTCGTCCTCTATCTCACCTGACATACATATTTCACATTTTGTATCTTTTCTTTCTATATTACTATACATTCCCCTTTCTATTCTTAAACCATGAGCTGATAGCCTTTAGCAACTGATAGGTATTCTATACTTAGCATGCAATGGTTTTCTTAAATAAGTCTGTAGTGCAACATTATCAACTAAATGTTGAAATAGAAAATATTTAGGAGAAATACAAAGTCTTGCCATAATTTCTTGTTTATAACAGTCATACATTCTTTGAAATATAATGTTCAGAGTATTATTATCAATACAATCACTATTATACATGTCATCTAAACCAAGCCTTTGAAATTCCTTCTTAATGTTTACAATCCATTCATTATTATTTTCAACCATATCTTGATAACATGCTTGTAATACACAATTATCACTGTTTTTTAATTTCACCCAGTATTTCAAAATTTTCTTTTTCCTATTTGGTATAACGATTTTTTTTACGATTGATATACCTTAATTTAAAAATATTGAAGTTTCGTTGCAAAAAATCGTATTATGTATCGACGTTTGATAAATGCATATTATCTTGAGCAATGTTATAATCAAATACTAAGGAATATTTTATTCATAAATTATCTAACTGGCGTCTCCATATGAGTGAAAAATTTTCTTCAAGAGGGACGTTAAACAACATACAATCAATCAATCAATCAATCAATCTTAATAAACATTCTACAGTAATACGATGTCGCACTCTTTATACCATATGCGGTAACCATCAAAGGATCAAATGTTAATTTGAAGGTTTCCATGAGTGACAATGAAAGTGTTGAGCGTATACAGAAAAACAATGGAAAAATTCATGGAGTTTTCTGCATGTGATTAGGAGCTCTTTGAACTATGAAAAAATAAAAATATAAATACGTCAGTATTTATGACATAGCTATCATGTTACTAAAAACTTGTCAAGTTCGAGGAACAAAGCTGCATGTCCCAGGGATTGGTGGGTCTGCTTTAAGGAGCAGACGAATAGCAGTCCCAGAGTGGTCACGAACCAGTCTAAGAGTGGTTCCAAATCAGTCCTAGGTACTGCTTTCAAGGAGTGATTAAGTGTCAGGTTGGGTCTGGTTTGTTATATTAGTATATACATATGTATACTTTTATCATTTTATAATTGTAAACATTAAATTTTCTGCCCAATTATGTTAAATTTTAAATCTTCTATGAAAAATATAAAATTATTTTCATCAAATTTATTTCTATTTAACTTCCAGAATATGGATAAAGTTCAACCTTCGAAGCTGAGAAGTTTTAAGGATCTGTTGAAATGTGCAATCTGTTTCGATATTTTCACTGATCCTAAAATCCTAAGTTGCCATCATTTCTTTTGTGCAGAATGCATTGAAAAACATCATGCAAGTTCTCAGGAGGGCAACTTGGCCCACTGTCCAATTTGCAGGCAGGGATTTGTATTGGATCTTTCCGGAGCATCTAGCCTACCTTCTTGCTACTTTATAAATGATATGCTTGAAAATTTTTCGAAGGAGCATTTTGAAGAAAAGAAGGAAATTGATTTAGAGAGGTTATGCGAGGCGTTATGTTTAAAGAGTGAAAAGAGAGTTTCTGCCGTGTATGCCTGTCCACCTTGTGGTTTAGATCTTTGTCAAGATTGTTCAGAAGCACATCAGGTTTTCTTTTCACATCATGAAATTGTTGATGTTAAAGATTACCAAAGACCAGCTATGGTTCAGACCTTAGAATTAGAAGAAGAAAGTTTGAAATGCAGTCATCACAAGGAATACAACCTCAACAATTTCTGTACGGACTGCCAAGCTGTTTTATGTCAAATATGTAAATTAAAGCATAAAGATCATGCTTGTATCTCTATAGAAAGTATTAAGACCAACACGCTTGAACTGCGAGAAAAACTGGCAAGAATAAAAGATGACATTGAGAGAAAAAAGAGAGATATTCAAACATTCAAAATAATTCTTACAACAAGCGAAGCCAAAGCACTAAATAAACTGCGCAGTACACATAAGCAATTGCACGAAAAAATAGACTTGCAGAAAACCTATATGGAAAACCAATTAAAAACATATTCATCACACCTTCAGGGAGAAATAACAAAAACTCTTGAAGATGTAGATGTTCATTCCAAGTCCATCGAGAGTATCCTTGAGCTTATCCACACGCTTTATGCATTCGGCAATGATCGTTGCCTTTTGATGTACTGGCAAAACATTAAGGACAGGAGTGAGAGTATAAATGTTGATGATTTAATACCTTCACAGTTAGAATCTAAAGACGCAATTAAATTTGATGCCATTGCTGTCGATACCGTTAACATTGGAGAGCTCACGTTTTCATCTCCAGACACCAATTGTTTTGGCATGTTTGACACGAAACTCGAGGAAGGTACTAAATTTTCGAAAAAATACCTTTTTCAATTAGCATGTTTATCAACACCTTAGTTATTTAGATAAAATTTATTTATATAAAATGGTTTTAGAGTAGAATGACTATATTGCTTTACAAAAAAAATGAACGAAAATAAAAATAACCTGCAGAAAATGTCCTTGATAAAAATCTTTCATGATGATGGTCAAATGGTTTAAATTTTAGATGGATTGCCTTTGAAGCAGACGACAGAGGAGATATATGATGATGGTAAAATCTCAATTTTAATTATTTAGAAAATCTAATAAACAGATGTTGATGCGCTTAAAGTGGTCAAAACTATAAAAATATTTGGTCTTTAAAACTTTTAAAGACGCAGATGATTTTGCAATTTGATAACTAAACTTAAATTACATTCGTTTCATTGTAGGGATTTTCTAAGACATTTGCTTTTTTTATTTATGTAAATTTATGCTTGAACGTTGCCGATTATTGGCATTAGAAATGAGTTATTGAACAAAAAAAAAAACAAATGTAAATCTTTCTGGGTGCCAATTGAGCTTTTCTAAATCTCGGGAATGAAATTTTGAATTTAAATAGAAAAACAAAAGAAAATCAGTGAGTAAAAATTTAGATTACATACGACATGTAGAGCCCAGAATACTAATACATTAATTTGCAATTGCTTCACTTAGTATCAAGCAAGGATGGTTTCAGAACAAGTCTAACTTTCAACTCACTATTCCTGCAATAAAACGGAATAAATATGAAGTTATCAGCATCACTTAAAATTATCGTCTTACAATATCATATAATTAACACTACTTTAAACACAATCAAGGGAAACATATTTTTCTGTTAACAATTTCTCATAAATAAGAATTTATATACATATGTCATGTATGTGTAGTTATGATTAATACATTTCACTTTGTTGAAAAATATCAATCTAAGTTTCATAAACTAATTGTGTTTTTATTCACTCAAAATGTAAACAATTCTTTGCTTTATTTAGTTTTGACAAATGAGGACATCACAGAAGCATTGGAGCAAGCAAATAATGAATCCGGTATTTATTTTTTTCAAATATCGCCGCTTTACATGTTTCAGTTCTACGCGTAGTTCAATATTAAATGTTGAAAACATTTAACATGTTTGAGCACATGCACACACATAAAGACCTTTTAACCCTCTAACACACGAACAGACACTAACACACAAACATACGTACACCTTCATAATTACGTGCAAATACCCTCACTATTACGAACCATCACAAACATACACATCAAAACATTAATAGTCAAAGTATTAAAGATTTCAGAGATAAAATTGAGATAAATTGGTTTTGAAACACATGACCGTTCAATGTCATTATTTGTTTAAAATTATAATATATATATATATATATATATATATATATATATAAAGCACAATTTACAACAACTCTTAAACTAATATAACTGCCCTAAGTGAAGAAATATTAATATAGAAAGCACAGAGAAATTCACTTTTATAAGGATACTCACTTCCGCCCCAACCCGGGGTTGAACTCTCGACCTACGGAATCTGTCTCCTAGCAGTACAGGAACAGCGCGTTAGACCGCTCGGCTATCTAGGCAAGTTATAAAACTTGCTTTCGATGCCGATGGAATTCTCACAACGCTGCCCTACACTACACGGTCATTGAGAATAGAAGTGAGATACAGTTATTTGGACATTAGTTTTTAGAGGATTGTTACCAATACATGTTGTGATGAAATTAATTTTATTTATAAAGCACAATTTACAACAACTCTTAAACTAATATAACTGCCCTAAGTGAAGAAATATTGATATAGAAAGCACAGAGAAATTCACTTTTATAAGGATACTCACTTCCGCCCCAGCCCGGGGTTGAACTCTCGACCTACGGAATCTGTCTCCTATCAGTGCAGGAACAGCGCGTTAGACCGATAGCCGAGCGGTCTAACGCGCTGTTCCTGCACTGCTAGGAGACAGATTCCGTAGGTCGAGAGTTCAACCCCGGGCTGGGGCGGAAGTGAGTATCCTTATAAAAGTGAATTTCTCTGTGCTTTCTATATTAATATTTCTTCACTTAGGGCAGTTATATTAGTTTAAGAGTTGTTGTAAATTGTGCTTTATAAATAAAATTAATTTCATCACAACATGTATTGGTAACAATCCTCTAAAAACTAATGTCCAAATAACTGTATCGTATCTCACTTCTATTCTCAATGACCGTGTAGTGTAGGGCAGCGTTGTGAGAATTCCATCGGCATCGAAAGCAAGTTTTATAACTTGCCTAGATAGCCGAGCGGTCTAACGCGCTGTTCCTGCACTGCTAGGAGACAGATTCCGTAGGTCGAGAGTTCAACCCCGGGCTGGGGCGGAAGTGAGTATCCTTATAAAAGTGAATTTCTCTGTGCTTTCTATATATATATATATATATATATATATATATATATATATATTTCAATATAGATATAGAGATAGACACTGAAGCTGCAGGGACGAGTCTTGTTCCTAGTGTAAAGAGACGTCCACTTCCGCCTCTTCCACAAGCCGATTCAAGACAAGGTAATAGGTTCCATAACATTTTAAGTGGGAACCAATAATTGACATTTGCATTTATAATCTATAAATTCTATGGTCGATACAATGCCCTTGTCAGCAAAACAATGTATCATTGAGTCAAATTTTTTTATACACTGAATTGACATCGGATTTTCCTTTTTTTCCCGATCATGACAAGGAGCACAGGGCGGGTGTGACCAAAGTTTTTGTAATTAACAATATCTAGGTGGTTTTTGAATACCAGGTCTTCCAAAAATTTATTGGAGTTCCCATGGCTACCAATTGCACCCGTTATTAGAAGACCTATATGTGTATTCATATGAGGCGAAATTTGTTTAAAATCTGATAGAGAACATCAAACCCGTAACGAACGAATATCGGTTTAACGAACGGTAAACTTGTTTACTTTGTGATTACCTGTGTAACTGACGAAACGTACGTACGAATCACACGTATAGAAAAATAAAAATTATTTGTCAATTTGATAAGAATAATCGTTTTGGTGGTCCATGTACCAGTATATTATAAATATATGGATATGTTCAGGTGTGTTTTTATTGATTCCTTTTAATTAACTTATAATAAATGAAAATTAATCCATATTATATTAAAGCACTGGCAGACCAGAGGGGGTTTCCGGGGGTTTGAACCCCCGAGATAGAGAGAGAGAGAGAAAGAGAGGATAGCTTTTCTGTAAAATATATTTATACGTCTAATCATTTGAAAAATAAAAATAAATCGCTTTCCTTTCTGCTCGCTAGATCTGTAGATTTTTGCGTTTTTGCTTTCCCCAGTGTACCTTCACAACCCCGTCTAAGAGTTCCGAACATCCACAAGTAACATGCAAGGCAGATTCCATCGAACTCTAGCTATACCATTTTTGGACCATCTTCAGAAATAATTAACTTTTAGAAGTATGCATAATAAATATTTTTTGTCAATATAGAAAAATGTAAAATGTTTCTGTAGTATGCAGAAGGAGGGGGCTCACTTTTTCTGAGAATAATCTTTTGCTGCAGTTTTAAAAAAGATTTTGTTTTGGAAGCTCCCTCCACATCTTTTGTTGCTGGAATATATGCAGATTCAAAAAGAAAAATGACACCAAGTCCCCCTCTACCCCCTCCCAATTTTAGAAAGTGGTATTTTGGGTTTCTTTATGCACCGGGATCGATAGATCCGAGGCGTATGTTGTTTTTTCCTGTCTGTTTGTCTGTTTTTCTGTTTGTCTTTCTGTCTGTTGTCAACTTTAACCTTCGCCATAACTTTTGAGCCATAAGAGATAGAGACTACATATTTGACATGCATAATTCACTAATTAAGTTCTTTCAAATGATCCCAAGGTCAATGACCTTGTGACCTGTACTGTTAGGCGTATATGTTAAAAATAGCTTTTTTGAACAATAGCCATAACTTTTGAACCATAAGAGATAGAAACTTCATATTTGTTATGCATACTCCACTAATTAAACTCTTTCAAATGACACAAAGGTCAATGACCTTGTGACCTTGACTGACCTATATGCTAAAAATAGCTTTTTCGAACTTTGTTGCCACCGGGCGCATGATGTTTCACAAAAACATCTTGTTTGGTTTGTTTATGTTTGTCTGTTCTTTTTTGCTTGTCAAATGTTTTTGGAGCCCCCCTTCTTATAAATGAAGCTACGGACTTGAAGTGGCCATGGTGTGATTCTATGCATGAGTGCTGGGTACACCGACCTGGAACCCACCCACACTTTTCTTTCAAAAATTGCTGGATCTGCCCATTTTAAAGGATGACCTTTGTTTATTACGATAATGTCTTATATATGGGACGCCAAATTCACAAAAAATGAGCTAAACATAGTTTCACCGTCGAGAAATTAGGTTTATTGGTTGTAAACTATAGCTTACGGACCGTAAACTATAGTTAACAAATGGAACGTTAATCTATATTTTACATCTGTAAACCATAGTTAACGCGATAATCTATGTTTCAGAACCGTAAACTAAACTTAACACTGAAAACAATCATTTGGGGTTGCAAAACATAGATTATCTGATAAATATAGTTTCACGATTTGTGAAACTATGATTAACAACTCTTAACTATAGTTCATGATTGTAATTTATAGTTTACAGACGTGAATCTATGTTTATCAACAAAATCTATTGTTAACGTTTTTTTACAGAGTGACTGATAAACTTAGATTAGCATTCGTAACTATAAGTAACAACTATTAAATATAGTTTTACAGAGAAAACTATAGTTAACCAATTGTTAACTATAGTTTACGGTTTTTAAACTATAGGTTACAGTTGAAAAATCTAGTTTATCAAATGTAAAACTATGTTAAGCTCATTTTTTTTATTTGGCATTGCATAATTATAGGTTGTAACAATTATCAATACGACGCTTTGCAAGAGCTGAGAACAATTTAATAATAGATGCAAGTTCCCATCTAGGGTGTCGATATAAGGAACCCGACATAAATATAAAATCCCGATATTGCTCGTTCATATCTAAATAGGAAGTGAAGAAATATGTAATAGCAGTTAAACTGTCAAAATATTTATTCAGCGGCGGATCCAGGAATTTCAAAACGTGTGGAGGGGGACGCAGTAGAAGACTTGGAATTTTGGGGCTACATTAAAGCCCCCAGTGGGTCCAAGACAAATCCCTGGTGGGCATCCAGGGGCGCGATCCAGGGGCGAAGCCCCTGGAAACTGAGGAACTCTATAACAAATTAGAGGTGTTTTCCTGTTGATTTGAAGATGATACAAACAAAATTAAAAAATCAAATGGGGGAGAGGGCGCACGCCCGGCGCGCCGGTGCTGGATCCACATTTGAAATAATTACAAAATAAATATAAAGCGAGTGGTGGTATTTATAAACTAATATCGTAGAGATACGTTCGTTCGTTGTGTGCTTCGTGTTATCTAATACGTGAAAAGAAGGAAAACCTGCTGTGACATGCATCTTGACATTTATATATACATGGATGTATCGATGACGCGTTTGTGCATTGTTCAATGTCCCTCTCGAGAACTTTTCACTGAGACGCTAACACTTACCGATGGAGAGTTTTAAATTCTGTCGAATACTCGGCACTTACTGCGAATGAGTAGTATGGGGTCATTTTCGTGTCATCATCTACTGTTACACAGGAACTCGATTCATGCGATTTTATCTGAAGGACTGGTGTCAACATCCTTCAATGTTTTTAGAAACCGCAATGAAAGGATCAACAACTTACATTGCGATTCTGAAGAAGACGCTCCAATCACTGCGCTGCGCGAGAGACACGTCGTACTGTCAATTTAACGGTGGTTATTCCCAGTCTTATATGGCATACCAGTTATATTCCAGTGAGCTTGAAATGAAAAATAGTCTAACACATCACTTTCTCGTGTCACTGAAATTACAGAAGAAAGAAGCAAAAATCTACACATTTTAGGACAGGCTGTGCGTGTGACATTTTGCAACATAAAGACCCTAAACTGTGCTACTATACCTCAGAAAAGAACAGAACCGTTCCGTGCACAAGGCGTACATGTACCGTACCGTTTACAAAGCGAACCGTTCTGTTCACAAAGCGTACCCTACCGTCCACAAAGCGAACCGTTTCGTGCACAAAGCGTACCGTACCGTCCACAAAGCGAACCGTTTCGTGCACAAAGCGTACCGTACCGTCCACAAAGCGAACCGTTTCGTCCACAAAGCGTACCGTACCGTTCACAAAGTAAACTGTTCCGTTCTTAAAGCTTACAGAACCGCTCCGTGTAAGAAACGAACCGTATCGTTTTTTGGTGAATTATGTAAACTACGCCCAGAATGATTTTCTAACCGTGCAATGACCAAATAAATCAATTTGGTTTATTTCTTGCAATGGCGCCCGAAAAAGGAGGACAGAGTTTTCCCTAGCTGTTCGAAACACAATTCTCATTTATCATGTTTTTTTTTCTAATTAAAAGTTGAAAAATTTATTTACATTTTTAAAAATAAGAATTGGGTTAATTAGTTCAATGATTTACACATGATGAAACACGCCCTTTAAGCTTGGTGTTATCGTGGTTTACAGGTCCTTAATGATGGTTTAATGGTTGTCTTTAAGTCACCATGAAGCACCTTTAAGTAAGATTTACACCACCATAAAGTTACCATCTTAAAGTCCTTAATGAGTGCTTAAATGTAATCTTATGATAGCTAAATGATGGGTTACAGGTCCGTAATGGGAGCTTTAAGACCACCATTAAGTCACCATTAAACTACTATTAAGCCACACTTATAGGTGTTTAATATCCAAAATCCATTAAGCTACCATTAAGCCACAGTTACTCAGTCGATAACACTGCTAATTTATGGGTGAAAAATTATTTTTATATTGATTTATTCTCACGAATCATAAATATCGAGATCATACAAATCTTAATTTGGTAAAAATAAGGAAAAAGAGCGAAATTCAAAATTACATAAGACCAAGAATAAGTTATTACATTCATTATTTCCATTTATTTTCCAAATGTAAGTAAACAAAAGTGCTTCTGTTTACGCATAGTCCATTGCCTTTGAACTTTTTCTCCGCAAAATTAAGGGTGGTAGCCTATGTTTAAAAATGAATTACATGTAAATACTCCTCACACATAGTTTTTTTTTCTCTCGAAGTCCAATAAGCAATATTTATTTGTGAATGGTTTTAAAATCATCTTACTAGGTATAAATACAATAAAGGAAGAATATACTCCTGATTGTGTTTTTTGCAATATGTGCATTGTGCGATTATTTTCAACAATGTTTACAATTTGAAATAATGACCTAGATTAACATACCAAAGTGCAGTCAAAGAAAACGAAAGGGATAGAACAAATGCGTATAAATAAACAATTTAGATTGTTTTTGATCCGGATTGAGTATGTTATCAATATTTATTATAATTATAAGACGATTGAATGTTTGACTAAATTAATTGTTGACTGTTGAATGAAATTTCAATTAAAATACATATTTCAGTTAAAATACACGTATGTAAGTTAACACACACAAAACACAAAGGAGTCTTCTATGCCCTGTAAGTTATCGTTTTTATTTATTTATTTTGTTGACCAATATTTCTCTTCTGAAGCACACGCTTAGACGAGATATCTACAATATTTTTTTAATGAGAAACAATGTACAGTTCTAATAACTAAGAATATAAACAAAAGAACGAATAGTCTATTTTTTTTATAGCTCAATCAATTAAAAATAATATACGTGTGTAGTGTTATACATGTATATAGAACAAGTAAATATATATATAATTATATAATCCTTCTTTCAATTATGTAACAGCTTTATTTTAAACTGAAGACATTATTTTATTTTTTTTCCTTTTTAAAATGAAGCCTCAGCATACGTAAAAATACGCTCAGAAATATTTACATGTTCTATACAATAATATACATGTATATATACATAATGCCAACGAGATCGGCGGGACGATGTTTTCTCCTTTCTTTTTTCATACTCCTCCCATCACTGCAGCAATGTAAATTTATTTTTAAATTGAAAGCGAGACATAGCATACAAGAATATGATAAAAACAATTACATATTAATAAAAAAAAATTATTGATTTAAACTTCCTTAATAAATAGAAACTCATTGATACTTAAATTTATATGAACAATAAATAAATTACATTAAAAATATAGGTAGTTATCTTGAATTAAGCTCCACCTATTTGGTTTAAATACCTCCAGATCTTTAATTTTGAGTAATTACAACCATATATATCTAACTTGTCTTGAATAATGGACAAACGAAAAATAATAGTACGAGCAGTGCAATGTTGATCAGACATTTCCGATGGAATTAGTAGACCTGTAAGTTTCTACAAGACCAAAGCTTTATTAGGCAGTGAGGAATTAGGTGAGAGACATCAAATTTGGTAAGTTTTGATTGCCTTATGTGTTGTAAAACTCTTTCTAAATTAAGGGAAATTCAAAATACTTCTTTCTAAGTCTGCTGAAGGACTTGCACATCTAGGAATCAAGATGTGTGCAAGTATCTAGCTGGGAAGGGGGGGGGGGGTCTTCGGCAGTATTGGTCGTGGAACAGTTGACTTGCTTTGCTTTCCCCGATGTGCGGGGTGAACTGCAATTTGTGCCATATTGGAGTCTCGTGGTGTCTGCGCACACCAAGTCAACTGATAACTGAATGTTATTAGGTAGTGTAGATTCACGTTTGTTCGAATCATGACTCTTTGGGGTAGGCTGGGTCACAATGGACGAGCAAAGTTTTGCATACATGTATAGAGGAATGCAATACGAAAAAACCTTTAAAGATTTTTTCTGAAGAAAAGAAAATCCATAATCGGTCAAATTTATATTAAAGCATTCTAAGTTAGTGTACAAATTATGCCCACTTGGGGTAGGGCTGCATATATAGGAAAAATCTTTTAAAGGAACAGGGACAACAATCTAGCCATTATTGGTCATATTTATTTAGAAACATTCTAAGGTAGTGTACATTCAAGTCTTCAAATCATGACTCTCGGGGCAGGATGGGGCCATAATGGACAAGCAATGTTTTGAGATAGAAAAATTTAGGGAAAATTTATTAAAAAAAACACATTTCTCAAAAACAGCAAAGCCATGTTAGATCACACTTAATTGGAATCATCCACAGTTGATATATATTTGTTTAAAACATGACCCCTGGAATGGTGCAGAGGAGGGGATGAATGGGCCACATTCTAGTTCAAAATTAAACACTTAGTCATGGAAATATGCATGCATTCTTAGTAACTGTTGATTCAAATCTGTTAAAATCATACCCTTTTCCCTCTATGGGGAGGTTGAGATCACTTATAAATCTAAACTTTTCAATACTTGACTTATGTCTGCATTTTGCAAAGCCACAGTGCTCAGGTGAGCAATGTGGCCCATGGGCCTCTCGTTTAACCGGGTGCTAATGATCAAGGGAAATTAATTTTAGAGGTGCAAAGATATCTTTTAATTTTTAGTGTTTAAGATATATTGTCTTATAGAATTTTTTTCATTACAATCCTGTAAAATGAAACGATACAATGTATGAAGCATTTTTATGTATAAATAACAAATACTAAATTATGATATTTGTTTTATTTAGATGGACATGCACAATACAGCAATCAAGGAGCTCTGCTTGAAGGTACACAGGCAATGAGAAATACCACACCAGATTCTTTTCATATATATTTATTAAATCTTACCTTAGTTCTGGTTTCAGCATTGAAAGGCTGATATTAATTTTTAATCATTTTTTTATCCTTTTTTTTGTTTTTGGATTCTTTTCAGAGAAAATGATCATAGAAAAAATATTTTATTTGCATATACATATAAGATGCTTTAGACCTGAAATTTACTGTTAATGAATGCATTATATGATTATCTAATTTTTTTAAAAAAAATGTAAAGAAAAGCAAAATAGACATTTAATATGGTTTCCTTAAAAATATATTCATGAAAATAAAACAATTTTTTGTTAAATATTTTTCAAACCTAAAGTCAAATATCTTCCTAAAACTACTCAAATCTACAGGGAACATGTTAGTTCATCATATTTTGAAAATAATTACAAAAGAAAATGATAATTTTTTAAAAGAATACTAGTTTGATTATGTGTAATATGGGTTTAAAAAATAACTGAACTTGACAATCAAATAGATATCTTGTTCGCACAATGCAGTCTCAACTCTTCTGAGTATAAGCACAAAGTAGAACAAGTCATACCAATGAATGAATATTTAAATATCTACATTGTAATTGTTTTTTTCTTTGATAACTCATTGAAATTCAGGTACATGTATATATAAGTTGATTTTTTGATAATCAAATCAGAAAGTAAATTTCACCATATCAAAGGTAAAGTGCATAATATGCACGTTAATTGCAATATCGTGATTTTATTTGTCTGACGTCATTGGGTGTGGACTACGGAAATTGATATGGGAGGCCTTGTGTATTACAGTTTAGATTGTGCATCCTTTTTACTTAAGGTTGTCCGATCCTCAGGTTTATAAAATTAGCAATTAAGTAAGCAAAAATACTCATTAAAGTATCCCTGAATCCACAAAGTTATGTTAATTTATCCACAATATTTCTTTATAGTTAAAGATTAAAGTTAATCATATTATATAGGGAAAATTGTCAAATCTTCAATATTTTTGCAGAAAAAGCGAATTGGAATGTCAGCAATGCATTCTCTAATTGCAAATTGATCAAAAAATATATTTTAGGTTAAAAAACGATAGGTATCCAGGCAGTAAGAGAAATTGTCATTATTTTAATACTTAATTGGTATTTTATTTCAGTCATGTATTCTATAATACGCGGGGGACTAATTGAATAACTTCTATAAAAGAAACAATATTTGGTTTCAATTTTGATTATATTTTAAATTAATCCGATTTTAATGCACATCAACCACCGTTCTGCACATGCACGAATCACGTGATATTGGCGGTCACGTGACCCCCTCCGTAGCGTTCTGTCACAAAAGTTGAAAGATTTTTCTGAGTTTTAAATTTCTTTCCATGTGAGTTAATTTTTATGACAAGAATAGTTCATTTGTCAAAAATGGTCAAATCTCTTCAACAGAATGGATGGATAAGAATATCCTTTCCAAAAATAAGCATAGCGACAATCAAAACCCAAATCTTCTCTCTCGGAGGAGATGTTTATTCAAGGTGGATAGAGATTGGGTGCCTCCTTTTTATCATATCTAATATGTTTAAAATCTAAACTAAACGATATCTTAGGCATTTAATAATTATATCATTGTTCAAATATTCAACTATTTTTCAAAGTGTAAATTGGAGGTTTTTGATAGCAAATTGTTTAATTAAAAACACACATCTTTTCAAACTTGCTTTCACTGGGCAACATGACAAGTATCATTTTTAACCATCTGCCTACCTTCACTTAAACAATCAATCCAATTATTAATTGAATTTATAGGAACTTATTTATCTTAATAAACTGTGTACAAATTATAAAGAAATACGGTAGAGGGGTTTCTAAGATATACAATGAATAGTACAGTCTTTTGTTGAACGAGTTCGACTGAGACAACCTACATAGTGACGTAATTTTTGCATTGTGACGTCACAAACAAGGAGAAAAACTTTATTCAGCATATGCTATTTATAGACCTCCTGTACGGCTATGTGTGTACCGAATTTCATTCTAATCTGAATTGTGGTTTTGTAGATATAGAGATAGTTCGCGAACTTTTTGATCATCCCTCGTACATAGTGTAAAAGGCTTTTTGCTATCAGTGCAAGGCACCACAAATCACTTCTTATTTCATATCATGCTAATAAGCATTGGTATCTAAGGCTGGGTTCAAGAAAATCATATTTCTCTAAAACTGTATTATTTTTTTCCTCCTTTTATAGGGTATAGATGTCAACTTTTATAAGACATTTTCTAAGACTTCCAAAGACCGAATCTTATAAAGATGAATAAAATGAAAACTGTTGCATGAAAAAATTTCATTTTAAAGCTTCATTTTGATGCATTTCAAATTAAATATTAATTTTTGGAGTTATCCTTCCTGGTTGAGGATCGGATATCCTTATGTATAAGAACTAAATAAGACGATTTATAAACAAAGGGGACAGGCTCCTCCATATAGAGGACGAAACCGCTGTCCTGCGTCATAATCTTTGCGAAAGCCAGCCGATAACTCGATCACAAAACAAGCAAGTTTGTTCGGAATAACAGATTTTTATAATTTTCATTTAAATGTTTCAAGGAATCTTTTATCAATTATTTCTAATATAACGTCCATTGTTTACATAATTAATCTAGTATTTGAAGAGATACTACAATCGCCTCTACGGCTGTTTGTTATTGTTCTTACATTCTCCCGCTTTCTAACATGTTTTTTCTTGCAACAGAATTGTCATGGTTACTAAAAATATAAATTTTTGTGAAATTTCTTTAAAACTCTACTCCTCCCACAGTTTTCGATATAATATTTCAATATAACTTGGCACAAAAGTAGAATACAATAAGTTACATAATTAAATGAATTGGTGTTGCCATGGTAACTAAATAAAAATATAAATTTCTGCTCAATTCTGTTAAAAGACTACTTCTACTGTAATTGTCTGATTTCAGTATAATTTGGCACACAGGTAGACCACACATATATACATGTACATATTTAAATGCATTTTTTTTTATTTTGATGAACGATGTTTTCACGGTAACTAAAAAAATAGAAAATTCTGTGTAATTCCTTTAAAACGCTACTCCTTCTACATTTTTTGTCTTATTTAAATATAACTTGGCACACAAGTAGACCTTACAAACTTAAGGTGTATTATTTAGTTCATTGGTTTTTGTTTTCAACTTTTAGTTTTAGTTTCATATCAATAAAATTGGCATACAAGTAGACTACATTAAATTACTATTTATTGCTTTGTTAGTATTTTGTTATATATAGACAAGTAGAGATACAGTCTCATAAGCGCCTTCTGGTTTTTTTTTCATTCAGACATAGACCATTCAAATGGAAATGCAGTTTCTTTTCGGAGTGTCACAGGACGTCCACCAACACCCATTCAACATAAACAAGTAACACAAGGTGAGTAATAGCATACAAGTCTAGACTGAAATAAGATATTTTGTTACATAGAATAATTATAAAATGCAAAGTTTTTGAAGAGGACTTTTAGCCTTAAAAAAGGAACATAATCAAAGTAACTTTGATTTAAATTATTGGCCACAAATAAATTGAAGTATCATCCGCAATACTAAAATTACTATCAACTGGTATGTAGTCGAGTGTAAATTAAGGGGGACCTATGTTTTCTACGTCAAGGCAGCGTTATGTGACGTCACAATAGCGACGTTTGTTTTTACCTGTTGACTTTTGCAACTGCTATATAGGCACAACATTGTTGCTAATCAATAACGTACACAATTTACAAAAAAGAAAACTTATTCATCATTAAGAAAACAATTATTTGATTTATGGAGTTTGTTAATATTAGAATTCTCTTCCCTTTTTTTTTAATTATAGCAATTTTAGTTGCGAAAAAAAACCTCGATAATATGCTGATATAATAGTGCAAAAAAGATACAATTCATCAAAGAAAGCGGCTTAAATCAGGGAAATATGTTTCATTTTATGTTTACCATTAATTGTATTCATGGATAAAACTAAGAAAAAAAATTATGTAATGTACTTGTACCTATATTTGCTGATTGATTTATAGTACCTGTAGATTTTATTGTATAAAGTCATTCCTAGGTTCTTTTGGTGTTGGTTGTTAACAGGGAAAATTGGGGCGTGGGAGAGAAACAGAATGATTGGAATGAAGAAGAAAAGAATTTATCTGTTTAAATTGTTTCTAATCAAAACAAAATACTCATTTTTCGCAAAATACTTTTATGTTCAAATGTTTTGTCATTGCTTACTTACCCCTTTTTAGTGCAGAAAGGTCAACATTTAAGACGTAAGAGTACGAAAATATAAGAAAACGTCATATTTCTCTTTTATTTTATCATAAAGGTATACTTTTTTCTTTGTTAAAATAAAGAGATTAATCATTTCTTTGAAAAAATATGAATAACAACATTTTCACACAACGACTTCTTAAGATATTATCTGATATGCATGTCGGAATTGTAAAAAAAAATACGACAAGAAAAACGGGGTGATACTTACTTTGTGCTCCATTATATTTTTCATGCGAGATGAATTTCAATGAATTTGTCCTCATTTTTAAGATACATGTCAAATAAATTATATAGCTATTGATTTTGAATATGATTTGACATTTTTGGTTCCTTTTAGCGCATATTTGGGGTAGAACAATAATGTCTCAAAATAATCTATTTTTAGCAATTTACACTGTATTTGCACGTGCTTCTGTGTAAAAATAAGCATATAAAGGTGTTGTTTTTAATACCTAAAAATTAAGAGCAAGTGGTCAGGAAAGAAATGTCAAAGTTTTGAAAATTTCACAGAAAGACTTTTCGGACAAAGGTACCCTCTTAAAAGAAAAACCAAGATGTATTTATGAAACACTTATGTCCTAATATAGCAGCTTATATGGCAAGAGTTGACGTTTCTTCAAATGCAAGTCAAACTCCAAGATCACGGTCAATACATGTATATAGGTCAAAATTGTTGATATCCATAGGAAATATATCCGTGATATATAAAAGACGTAGATTTGACTGTTTAAAGTCTTGACCAAAGAAAAGGGGGTCAACTCTAAAGCCAAGTTCAAAAAGGAAAACATTTATAGCCATTGAAAGGTCTTTTCACAGAGAGTTCACATGAATTGTATGCAGGTTATAATTTAAAATTTTCTGTAAATGTTGATGAAACTCAAAGTTTGAGGTTGCAAGGTCAAATTTGGTGGGACCCAAACAAACAGCTTTTGTCACAAGAACTTCACCTGTAAAATGTGAAATTTCACACCAAAGCTATGAGCAAGGTTATTTTTTCTGTGGATAAACAACCAAACAGACGGATTTGTAGGACAAAAATCATATACTATCGAATCTTCGATAACGGAGGAAAAACACCACTTTAGTTCATTATATATATAAACATAGATGCAAATCGTAAAATCAGTTTTACTGATAGAAAGATGACCTGCGTTTATCTTTTTGTTTTAACTTTTCAAATAACGTCTACTTTCTCTCCTATTGAGTCTGCTCTTTAAACTTAAATACTGTCTATCATCAAGGACAGCAAAGAAATGATTGGTCATAATTATGCAAAAGCTTCATCAGGTTTTAAATTCAAGTTTACCTGTGTTTCTAAACACAATCTAAGGAAAATTTATAGATTCATTAAATATCCTTTATGTAGTTGTAATATGATTTCATCTTTGTGCCCTGGACGAAAAGATCCCGGGGATATATTGTTTTTGTCCTGTCTTTTTGTCTGTTTGTTTTTCTGTTAGTCTGTTTTCAATTTTAACCTAGCCCACAACTATCGATTGGGTTGGGCTATGGCTTTCATATCTTATAGGTGTACTTCTTGTGACAAAACCTTTCCTTTGGTTCCACCAAAATTGGCCTCTTGACCTTTGACTTTTATTTACTTTTGACAAACAAATGATACACTTTAACTTTGACCTTTGAGTTTTATCTACCTTTGAAAAACAAATTATGCACTTTAACGTTGACCATAACTTTTGAACAGTTGGGGCTATGCTTTCATACTTCACATGAGTATTTATTGTGACAAGACCTTTCAACAGCTGTAAATATTTTTGACCTTTTGATATTGACCTAAGGGTTTGACCCACTTTTTAAAAACTTTAACCATGGTCATGGTTTGAATAATTATAACTAAGAATGACATATTTCAGAAGTACATTTCTTTAAATGTTAACAAGACCTTCCTTAAGGTACCAACTTTAACTTTTTGACTTTGACCTTTGAATTTTGACATACATTTGAGAGAATTTATAAACTGCCTTACGGGGCAACAGTGTTTCACAAGCACATCTTGTTATATCCTGAAATGTAAAATTTTTATCGTTACGTAATGGCGTTACTTAACGGCTGATTACCTTACCTTCTTCAAACAATAAAGAGGAAACGAATAAATACAAATCGTAAAGCCTGCAAACAACAATAAAATCATATTTAATTACAATGAAAAGAAAGAACCTTTTTAGTTATTGCTATAAAAAAAAATCGCATGTTATTTTGAATTAATTTCGTTCTTTATTTTGTCAGATTTTTTTACGAGAGAAAATCTTGAAAAGTTGTTAAGTCGTAAGAAAATTAGATCATCAGAAAATCATCTCCCTTTCCTTAAACAACATCTCAACCAATGAAATAATTGAAAATTTTCTCATAATACAATTTCTATCAATCACAAAAGAGAGGGATGAATAGTCTGAAGTCTGTAAAAAAAACTTCAACTGTATATACCGTCTTCCGTGGAAGACCGTAATGAAACGTTGAGTTTGGTCACGTTAGAGTTAGATATTTTTGTTATGTGTCATCCTACTTATATAAGTAGACAGCAGAGAGAGGGGGGGGGGGCTTTTGAGCGTAACTATATTTATCAGATAACATTTCTATCTAATTGTAGACGTACATTGTGAATCTGAGCCTATTCATTTACCACCGCCTATTCCAAGAAAACCATTATCACTAGGTAAGCATGAAATTTAGGCAATGGTCTTGAAAAGAAGATGATAAAAACATGTATTTTTTTCTTTTAATTAGACGACATGGCAAATGGCTAATACGATGTGGAGTAGTACTTGAGGATGTTTGTTATATTATTCTCAGTGTATGCCTACTTTTTGACAGTCTTGAAAATCAGAAGAGAAGAAATGGCTATAAAAACGACATAGTTTGATAATAAGGCTATAAATATTTTATGGAAAAAAATAATCAGTGACGATATGAATTAATACTCAAAATTATAATGTGCTTTCACTTCAGCATTTTTCCTCACAATTTTCAGTAAAGTTCAATTTAATTTTGAATTAATGAATGTGGCACAAGTGTAATTCTAGATGATAGGCTGAATTCCTAAAATGTTCTTGTTTGCAAATTGTACGCTTCGGTCTGGAGTTGAGTCTGCTAGCAATAAGTAAGCAAGATATGATTATATTTATTTTAACTAGGATGTTATAGTCTTCCAAGAAAATTATCAGATGAGGCTTCTTTGTTGCCCGGTGGATCAAAACAATATGCATTGAAAAATGTTCAAGGTACCCATTTATTGACATATCATGTTAGGAAAATGCTTTTTATAACCGAGAAGATACATAGAGATATAAATTCATTAAAAAGAATTATACGAAGGAACTGTCAACGATCTTTTCTTAATTTACGATACTGGAATAAATTGATGGATGTGTGTCTTTAGGGTGGGAGACGTATTACATGTATATATTACTATTTTTTTCTTCAGCGAAGAAACCACAAGATGTTTCAACGTCGTTTCAGTGTAATCTTCCTGTTTCCGGTAATGTTTTTAATATCATATATCACAAATTTCGTGACAGGTATCTAAGTTTTTTGAATATTTTAGATTATCTTAAAGTAATGCACGCTATAACTTGCGCCAGTAAAATACGGTTGGAAATTTATATATTTTGTTTACCAATAAAAGTTACGAAAATACTGTTAATTACGCCATTTAAATTAAACTTTTATAAAGATATCAATTATCATCCTGCCAGGAGAGAAATGGCTATTTTAAAATAAATCCATCACGTGACGCCGTCGCTACCTTTAGATTGATAAACAAACATGGCGTCAAAAAACAAGGTTGGCCGTTTAAGATACAACTCAATTTTGACGTGGATGGCAAGTGTCTTACTCTTAATGATACTTATCTTTTTTTGTAATTTAGTATCAACCATCTACTCTGTTATGACGCATATTAACCTTTTATTAATAATCGTTGTCAAAATGTAACATACCTCGTTGTCTGCGAATTCCCCTGGTCATGTTGGTCTATATATAGGCCTACTGTTTACGCACTTCCTTCATCAATATTCATGAAAAGACTGAATTCTTACTTGCAGAAATTGCTTAATTGTTTTTTTTTACAATGACTTCTACAGTAACATTTTACACTTTATGTGTTTTAAATCATAAAATCATTTTGTTTCACACAAAAATCGGCGTTCATATAGCGTGTATTACTTTAACAAAAAAATTATTGAATACTGGAAATATTTCTCCACTGAGACCTATACTTTAAACAGATCAACTTTTATTTCTGAAAAGATTTCATCTCTGATTAACATGTTTTACTTTGCAAAAACCCATCTTTGATATTTGAAGGAGGCGCAATTTTTAAAAACGGTAATATTGCCCTTACAAGTTTTGATAATGGAAAAGTAGTCATTATCAATTCGACCGGAGACAATTTGAAAGAATTCAACATTCCAAAGCCATGGGACGCCGCTGTACGAAACGATCGAAACAAAGAACTGCTTTTCATTTCATTTTTGAAAACAGGTAATAGAAGATAATTTACTTCTAATTATCGCAATGCATTACGATTATAGAACTCCTTTTCATATGTTTTAAATTATGACAATCGTCTGAAATTGAAGAAATAAAACTTATTTTCTATTTGATTATTTTAACATGTAGCTGAAAAACCTGCAAGAATAGATTTTATTGAATGGACTGTTGACCATTTTCCTAAAACCTTTACCAGAGATGTTATAACCCCCTATGGTTTAGCATTTACTTTGCAAAATGAATTATGTGTTTGCGAAAAAAAGTCCCATGAAGTTAGAATATTTGATGTGCATGGAAAAATGATCCGGCGCATATGCCAGCCCCAGTTTGAGTGTCCATGGTACATAGCAGTAACAAACGATGGCAAAACGCTTATATCTGACTTTGAAGCCAGATGTGTGTGGTGTCTTAATGAGAAGGGATACATTATCGATAAACTTGATAAAGCATCTGAATCGGATCCAACAGAATTTCATCCGGCAAAATGTGTATCCGACGGTAAAGACTTTTTTATTAGCGATCAAGATGGTGGAAAGGTCAGAGTTCTTTCTAAAACGGGACAAGTGCGTACTGTCATTGCAAGGAAAAATACTAAAGAGGAAATATTTTGTCCTGTAGTTCTTCTTGTTCAAAAACAATGTTTAATAGTAGTTTCGAAGCATGGGGAAGTAATTAAGATGCCTGTACCAAGCGAAGACGAAAAATTTCGGTGGTTGAAATAAGGAGAACTTCAAAAAAAAAAATATATATATATACAACGAACAACCATTAGTATTGTAATGGAAACTAAATATTGCTAAATTCAGAAAATAATAATTTATGTTCTTTTACTAAGTATTGTTAAATTCAGAGTTTCTAGATTTTGAGAGAATGAAACAATGTACGGTTTACTGATTGTCGTAATTAATTAGCATAATTAATTCGTTCAATTATGTAAATCGCACTTCACCCGAGTATACCCGAAAGACCGGACGCATTTCATAGTGGTCCGGATTCTTTTTTTGATAGTGTTCTTAAAAATTTCCAAATCATGTAGCTAAGTATGTAAATATATAGTGTTTAGTAGTTTAGTAGTAGTGCTAGTTGTTTTTTGTTTCTCTTTTTCCTTTGTTCTCATGACTTTTTAACTTTTTTCTTTGTCCTGAGGAAGGGACAGGGCGTCCCGAAAATTTGACAATTTTTATTGTTCGTGTCGTTGGTCATTTTTAGTGCTTTATATAAATTTCCATCCGTGACCTTGTATCTACTTGGTAGATCCGACATTTAGGATATACAGCGTTGTTGGTTTTTTTAGTGCTTAATATATATATATATATAAAGCACTAAAACCCGACTTCACCCGAGTATACCCGATAGTTGTTTTTTGTTTCTCTTTTTCCTCTATTCTCATGACTTTTTAACTTTTTTCTTTGTCCTGAGGAAGGGACAGGGCGTCCCGAAAATTTGACAATTTTTATTGTTCGTGTCGGTGGACATTTATAGTGCTTTATATATATATATAAATATATATATATATATATATATATATATATATATATATATATATATATATATATATATATATATATATATATATATATATATATATATATATATATATATATTTATGTTATTTTATAAATATTATATTATATTATGTTTAAAATATATATATATATATATATATATATATATATATATATATATATAGGGATGTCAACGAGTACCCGGTTAACCGGGTACTCGATCGAACGTCCGAGTATCGAATACTAAAAATGGTACTCGGTTACTCGGATGAATATGTTTTAATATTTCTAAGTTTATTTAATAATGCAGTAAAAAAAAAAGGTTTTAAAACGTAATGTGTTCATTGCACTTGTACATACAGTAATTAAGGTTTCCTGCGCCTCTAATTGACCGTTATCGCCTGTGGCAGTGTTTATACAGTAATTACCGTGACCAAGCACCTGTTTCCTACCTGGCTTTTCTCACCTTCGGCTGTCTTCACCCCTTATGTTTAGTTTGCTTTAATTACTTGTTTTCTTTGAACATCGTTTAAGGTCTATATTATGTTTCAATAAATTAAATAATTTTGTCAATTCTCCAAGAATACGTAAATTCTCGGGGAAAGAGACAAACGATATTGCACGTGCGATTGTTGATATGGATGCGTTTGATTACATGCCAATTAATGCAAATGGTTGAAGGCAAAGGCTTTAAAAATCTTAATATGCCCATCGTTGCACCAAACTACAACATACCGTCTCGTAATTTTATGAAATCTAGGATCGAAAAGTGTACGGAGATCGTAAATCCGCTCTGTTATAGGAAAACTTGATCAAGTTGATACTGTACATGTAGCTCTGACGACTTATCACTTGGACTTCAAATGCACCAAAGAGTAACATTACAATTAGGGAACAGATAATTTTTAAACAAAACCACTGTGAACCATTGATGATTTTATTTCTCGAATTTATCTGATAAATAAATTGAACTTTAAATAAATTTTAGATTAAATTTCGTCGGGTACAAAGTGGTCATAATTGTTACAACACATTTACAGGTAAACTTCCCATTAGACTAAGTGATTTTATTTCTACAAGAGTTTACAATGTTTTACAGTCTCAATTAACTTTTTCATATTTATTTAGACTTTTACCGAGTACCCGGGTACTCGATCGGAAAAACGTCCGAGTAACCGAGTATTAAAAATTGACCGATTTGACATCCCTAATATATATATATATATATATATATATATATATATATATATATATATATATATATATATATATATATATATATATATATATATATATATATATATATATATATATATATATATATATATATATATATATATATATATATATATATATATATATATATATATATATATATATATATATATATATATATATATATATATATATATATATATATATATATATATATATATATATATATATATATATATATATATATATATATATATATATATATATATATATATATATATATATATATATATATATATATATATATATATATATATATATATATATATATATATATATATATATATATATATATATATATATATATATATATATATATATATATATATATATATATATATATATATATATATATATATATATATATATATATATATATATATATATATATATATATATATATATATATATATATATAATGTAATTTTTAAATTACATTTAGTTGAATTTTAAAGAAATACTTAGGTTTGAGGGTTTTTGTTTTTTTGACTCGATAGTGAAAAATATTTTTGATATATGTGTGTATGTGTTTGTTTTTTATTATACTTTGCATGTTGTGTTTACGCAGTTAAATATATCTTTAGAAATAAGAAAAAAACAATATATACCTATATTATGAAATTTTTATATTGTATTAAGTTGAATTTTAAAAAAAATATATTGGTTTGGGTTTCCTTTATTTTTTTACTCAACTGAGACGAAGCCTTTCCGATCAATAAATGTTCGTTGTTAGTCGTTCATGAGGTAAACTTTTCACATTTTCATCTCTTTCTCAAGAGCCACTGTTCCAATATCAACCAAAATTTACCACAATGTATCCCAGCTGCGTAAAGTGAATTCAAGATTGGTCAAATGAAGAGCCACATTCTCTTCCAAAGAGAAATAATTAGGAATTAATGAGAAATTCATGGCATCTTTAAGAAATCTTCTTCTCAGGAACCACTGGGTTAGTACATGTAGATCAAATTTGTTCAAATCCTGACCCCTTTGTTAGAGTGATAACGCTGTGAACGATCAAAGTTTTACAATGGAATACTAAGGGATAATCTTTAAAAATCTCAACACCATAGTTGAGGAAAGATGAAACTCATGTGGAAATATCTTCAGGTGATGAAGATTCAAATTTATTTTCATCATTACTCCTCGGATAAGATGGGACAACAATGGACGTTCAAAGTTTTACTTTCACGTATATACGAAATTGTTTTTTTTTTTTTTTTAAAAACGTCTTCTCAAGAACAGCTTAGCCATGATTGGTAATACTCTGTACATATATTATTATGGTAGCATTCTCATGTAGTATTAGTTCAATTTTGTATATATCATGACCCAAAGGTCAAGAACAGAATAGCCACAATTGGTGATATTAATAGGAAAGCATCCTGTAGATGTGTTGATTCAACTTTGTTTAGATCATAATCCCCGGGGGTAGGGTGGGACCATAATGGACAATCAAAGTTTTACAGTGATATATATACTAAAATTTCTGTAAAAGATTTTCCATAGAACAGTAAATTCATGATTGACGATTTTTGATATCGAACTAATTTAGGCGTCATCACGTGGATTAGACTCTGTTTATTCCATCGTGACCCCAGGATGACCACAATGTGTGATCAAAGTTTTACATAGGAATATATAGTAAATTTTAAATATCTTCTCTAGAACAGAAAATTTATGTGTAGTCAAAGAGACTTGTAGGCATTCACATGAAGTACAGATTCAATTTTTTCACATCCTTAGCCCGGGGGAGGGGGTGTATGGGGAGGAGCTACAATAAAAGATCATTTTTCACCAAGTAATATGTAGATAAAAATCTTTTAAAATCTTCTTTTACACGTGTTATACATTTGTAAAGTTATACATGTACTATATCGAAATGGTGATATCCTCAAGTACAATGTAGTATACATTTAAGTCCTACCAAGTGTTTTTGCCTAGTTCATGTTCTCAAGGTGAGCGACGTGGACCATGGACCTCTTGTTCTTTTTTTTCTTTCTTTTTTTTTTACTATTTTTGAAGTTTTGACTTTGTTTGAATATGATGCCATCATTTCTTTAGTATTTGTTGTATTTTGCACTTTTGTTTGCTTCTATCTAGTATTTTGGAACAATTGTATTGCATACATTTATCAGCACGACAGTATTCAATAAATCATAAAGGATATGCATTTTTGTTGATCAAAATAGATGAGTTATATCACATGTAAATGAAGCCTTTAAACAAATATTTACCCTAAATAAATATTGCAGGTTCGTGGAACATAATTTTAAAAAAGAATTTCTTTTAAAGAAATCTTTTTTGAAAAAAAAAAACATTTAGAATCGCATACAATCATTTTATCTGTGGAAATAACATTTTCCTACAACCATCAAATCGCTTGGGTACCAAAAAGTGTACTACAACATCAATTTTATTGCAAGAAACTATAAACTACAAAACTGAAAAGAAAGGAAATGTACATACACATGTACATGTACTGCTATATTTGGAGAGTACCAAAGTTGTTGACTTCGTGTGGAGAGAAAATGTTCTTATAAGATGAATAAATTAGGGATTAATAGTAAATTATGGTTCATCATAAATAATTGCCATGTACATATATATGGCCATATTGTTGATAACAGCGGAGGATCCAGAAATTTCAGAACTTGCAATGGAAGGTAGGGGTATGTGGGCTGTATTGAAGCCAACCGTGGATCAGAGATTAAAGCCTGAAGAAATTCTAGAAAATAAAGAGGTGTTTTCACTTTAATTGAGGATAGTGCAAACAAAAATTTCAAATCCTAACGGGGGACACCTGGTACACTGGTCTAGGATCCGCCTTTGGTTGATGGATGCTGGTTTCAGATATTTTCAGATATTTTCGCGATTCAAAAAATTTTAATGGCAAAAAAAACTAAAAGATTCAGTAGATGACGTCACAATGTTTGACTTTGACC